GCTAATTTGAAAGTGAAAGTAAAATGCGCATGGCACTTTTACAAGCCATTTGAAAGCGAAGAAAAGAGGGAAACTCAAACGAACTAACACCTCCTCCCCCCACCCCACCCCAATGGTGATACCGGTGTTGTCACTCGTCGATTAACTGGTGGGAAAATTTCCTCACCGTCACAACCGTAGCGTTTGTTGATAGCAACAAATGGAATACATTTTCTTACTCTTTGTATTTTTATGTCAATATGGTACATATGGTAAGATTATCCTATTTAAATCAATATGAAAAATGATATCAAAAGTAATCTAAAAGTAGATGTAATGTAATGGATTACATTACTAAGTATAGTTTTTGTCATGTAATTTGGGATCAGTAATGGATTACAATTTGTAATCTACCCTAACAATAAGTAATCTACCCAGCTCTGTATATACAATGATTCATTTAGCAGATGACCATTATTTGATTGGCTGATTAAAAGTGTTAATTGCACCTAGAATTCATCAAAGTTAATGAATGAATTTCAGGTAAATTTTGGGGATTTGAAAAAAAATTAGTGTTCATTTAAAAATAATTAATTAAATAACATTTTATTTATTACACATGCTTGTATTCATTTTGAATAAGGATCATATGCTATGAATAATTGTATATGTAAATAAATGTTATTTGCATAAAATCGCTGTATCAGCCATCAACCATCCTGGTTACCAGTCCACTGCTTAAACAACTCAGAAATCATGATAATGAACACAAAATGAAATGCATTTGTGAGCTATATTGTTGAACACATAATGACAGGCTTACTTTCACAATGAATTCCACCATTGTGATCTGAATACATGAGTTTTCCTCATAAAAATGTGTAATGGAAGGTTACAAATGCCACGACCAACCAATAACAAGAACCAAGCCAGGAAATCTGCCATTCATCCAAGACGGAGAGTGGAAAAATACACAACAATACCACGAAGGACGCTGTTTGACAATGTGAAAAACTGACAGCAAGGCCAGCAGAAGAACAGAAAGATGCTGGATGTGTGAATAACAGCAGCACGTGATGCATTATCAGCCTGCCAGAGGAGAAACTCTCAAACATGAGCAAAAATACTCATCACGTCACCACAGAAAGAAACCACAATAACAAACATTTCAAAATCATTTTTCACAGGTTACAAGATGACATACTCCCGCATATCTGGTGGTGTATGCTCATGCATCACAATTGCTAGTGCTCATATTTTTTATTTCTTTTTGAAATTCTTACCTTTCTGTTCATAACTCCAAAAAATAAATGAAATAAACACCCTGAAAACCACTTATCGCACCCTAAAACCATGGAGGACATGGTTTAATGGAAGAATAAGAATAAGAATCCAGTTCAATGGTTGTAAAAGTCACAATTAAACAAGCCATTGCATTGCAATCCTTCTTTTAATTTTTATAGCTTAATATGAAGGTTAAAATTCATTCAGCATCTGACCAAATCGAATGGACACGTCCTATATGCATCCAGAGCAGAGACGTTTGAACTATTTAATAAACTAAAAGGAAGGTAGCAGCACATAATACAAAAAGAGAAAACATAATTAAAAGCCAAGGAACATTCACTATGCAAAGAGGTTTTTTATTCATAAGAGGTAGTAATTACAGTGAAGGTCAAAGATTAAGGTCCATTAGGGGAGTCTATTAAGAATGACGGCAAAAACACAAACAATATGTGTGTGTGTGTGTGTGTTATACATTTTAAGGGTTAGTTATGTAAAAAAAAAACTCCTTGAGATAATGTTTCATTCACATTTCACATATTACAGTGTATAGTGAGACTGATTTTTTTTATTTTAAAGACAATAAGATTGTTTCAGATAAAAGCGATTAAAGCGTTTCGTGAATGAAACTGTTATAACGTCACAGTCAGGCATGCGATCTATTATGCTTGAAAATGCAAATGATACAGTTTTGTGAAAATACGT